TCTGTTTCTCACCCCCTTGCCCGTTCTTCCCGTCTCAGCTTCCCCCTATAACCGTTGCAAGGGCAGCATATACCTAGTGTTTGACTTCTGCGAGCATGACCTTGCGGGGCTGCTGAGCAACGTCTTAGTCAAGTTCACGCTGTCCGAGATCAAGAAGGTCATGCAGATGCTGCTCAACGGCCTCTACTACATCCACAGAAACAAGGTGGGGGGCAGGGTGGGGGAAGAGACCGAGGCTGGGGTTGGCCTCCGCTCCCACTGCAGGGTGGATGTGCCTGAAGGGCCCTCGGAAACCTGATCGAGCCGTCTTGTGCTTCCTGCAGATCCTGCACAGGGACATGAAGGCGGCTAACGTGCTCATCACCCGCGACGGGGTCCTGAAGCTGGCAGACTTCGGGCTGGCCCGGGCCTTCAGCCTGGCAAAGAACAGCCAGCCCAACCGCTATACCAACCGTGTGGTGACGCTCTGGTACCGGCCCCCGGAGCTGTTGCTCGGTGAGGACTCCCGAGCGGGCAGAGGGGGGCAGGGGCTGGGCACTTACCCGGCCTCAGTCCCCCACTGCCAGGGCTTCTTGAGCCGCCGGCCCTGGGGCATTGCGTCTCAGGAGGCCCTCGGGCTCAAGGGGCCCTCCTGGTGCGCTCTTCTTCCCAGGGGAGCGGGACTACGGCCCCCCCATTGACCTCTGGGGTGCCGGGTGCATCATGGCGGAGATGTGGACCCGCAGCCCTATCATGCAGGGCAACACCGAGCAGCACCAGCTTGCCCTCATCAGCCAGCTCTGTGGCTCCATCACCCCTGAGGTGCGTGGCCAGGCTGCAGGTCCCCAGGGTCCCCGCAGGATGCAGAGATCTGGAAGTCCTCCTGGCAAGGGAGGAGTGGGGAGTGGAATGGAAGGAAAGCCCTGGAGAGGTGGCTGGTGGAGGGACAGGGCTGGTGGTCGTTAGAGCCACACGGGCAGTGTTCAGATCTCACCCCCATCGCAGTTCTGTGGCCTCGGGGAGGGCATTTGAATCCCTCACCTCAGGGCTGAGTTTTCTCCTGTGTGAAACAACTACGCCTGTGTCGGGCTTGGTGAAAATATCGTAGGTGACTTGGGTAAAAGGGTGTGGCGCTTGGTGTGTGTCAGGGACACAGTTACTGCTGCTTTCGCTTTGGAGAGGTCCGGTTCGTCCTCCAGGGGTGGTCTGGGAGCATCTGAGAGGAGAAGTTTTAGTCCCTTCCGGTGCCCAACCAGTGGACAAAGCCACGCACCCCCCTGAATTGACGCCGTCCTCTCCCCATGCCTCCCGCCCAGGTGTGGCCAAACGTGGACAAGTACGAGCTGTTTGAGAAACTGGACCTGGTCAAGGGCCAGAAGCGGAAGGTGAAGGACAGGCTGAAGGCCTATGTGCGTGACCCCTACGCGCTGGACCTCATCGACAAGTTGCTGGTGCTGGATCCCGCACAGCGCATCGACAGCGACGACGCCCTCAACCACGACTTCTTCTGGTCTGACCCCATGCCCTCGGATCTCAAGGGCATGCTCTCCACCCACCTGACGTCCATGTTCGAGTACCTGGCGCCGCCGCGCCGGAAGGGCAGCCAGATCACCCAGCAGTCCACCAACCAGAGCCGCAATCCCGCCACCACCAACCAGACGGAGTTCGAGCGCGTGTTCTGAGGGCCGGCTGTCGGCGATTTGCATTAGGGCAGTTTTATTTTTTCTCCTGCTGTGTGACTTGCATTGTGGAGGTTATGGGGCATTTGAGTTTTCCCTAGTGCTTTATTTTATTTGATCCCCACCCTGGGCACTGGGAACGCCAGCTGAGTGGACTGGAGGAAAGCTTTGGCTGAAAGCCCAGGAGGGCACTGGGGCTGCCTCCCCTGGTTCCCTGGCTTTTGAGATGATGACCAGAGGGTCTCCGTTTACTTTCAGACAGGAATGGGGTGGGAGGAGAGGCACACCCCACCAGTGACTTTGTAAGCGTTCCCAGCGTGACCGGAGCAGGGGACAGGCCCCTGGCCTCTCGTCAGCCCGCCTCTCGAGATGAGAAACTTGCGTGGGGGATGGAACCGGCCTCGGGAATGGGCTGGTCTTGGCCCAGCCCTCGGAAGCACTGGGGCTGGCAAAAACTTGGTTTCTTCAATAGAAAATTTTATCGTGTTTCTTTTGTTCAGTTGTTTGGAGACATTCCTGGACACAGTTTGGTCAGTTACGATTAAAGTTGACTCTTTTTTTTTTTTTTCACCCCCCACTAAGTGGCTGTGTGCTGTGTTCTGTGTTCAGACCGCCAGCCCTTAACCCTGTGGCCAGCACGCTGGGCCTGCGCATTGAGGTTTGATTTGTCGAGTCTTGACTCCTTTCTTTATCCCCGTTCATGTTTCCGGACGTAATTGCAGAGGACTTTCGTCTTTGTTTTTCTTTTGAGTATCTTCTGGAACACTGGTTATGATGCTCCCTTAGTTCTCTCCACTCAGTGTCCGAGGAAGAGGGAAGACAGTTGCGACAGGGTCGCAGTTCCCTGGAGAGGGAACCCGGGAGGGTCCGCGATAAGCTGCATCTGCAGCAGGGATCCCATCTACTGTGGCTGACAGACACGCTCAAACTTGACTCACAGGCACAGGAGGCTGCAGGCAGAAGGCTCTTCATCAGAACGACAACCGTTAGATCTGTCACTTTGCAAAGGGCCCTCAGGCTGCTGAGTAGTGGGTGGCTTAGGAGAGGCAAGAGAGAGAGGACCAGAGCAGTTGAAGGCTCTCCAGGGGCTTGGGGAGGTGGCGACCACCTGGATTAGGATGTGAGTGGGCAGGAGGACAGAGAACCGTGTGGTGGTTGGAGTGTCAGGCACAGGAGCTGGAATCCTTGGACGAGAAGCACGTTCTGGTGGATCTGTTTCCTGTGAGCATGAAGCTCAGGACAGACACGTTTGAGGCAAATTCTTCTACATTCTGGTCACAGGAGGATGCCTTTTGAAGGGGGTCCCCAAAGGAAGGTCGGCAAAACCTTTTACCAGAGCTGTCCCTGCAGAAATTGACCCAGATCTCAGCTTCACAAAAGGCCAGTAGAAGTAAAAAAAAAAAAACAAAAAAACAACAACAACAAAAACACCACCACTTGACTAGTACATTGAGTTCTCAGGGCTGCTGTGGGGAATCAGACTGGGTGGTTTACAACAGAAATGTATTCTGTCACCGTGTCGGAAGCTAGAAGTCTGAAATCCAGGTGTCAGCAGGGTTCGCCGGCGAGGCTCTGCGAGAGAATGTTCCATGCCTGTCTCCTAGCATCTGGTGCCAGCCCTTGACCTCTCTTGGCCTGTACATGTATCTGTCGAGTCTCTGCCTCCCTGCCTCCACCTGCAGCCGGGTCATCTTTCTTCTGTGTGCGACTGTCTCTCTGATGAAGACACCAGTCCCTGGATTTAGTATGATCTCTTCTTAACCAGCTACACGTGCAAAGACCTTTTCAAATGAGGTCCCAGTCTGAGGTTCCAGGTGGACCTGAACTTCTATTCAGCTCAGCTAGGAAGGAAGCAAATCTGTTTGGAAACAACGTTGAGGTGTCCTAATGGCTATCGAGTTGGTAGGTTTTGAGTGACCCGATGAGGGAAAATTTCTGGGGCTGGTCTCGTGGTTCGAGGTGTGGTTTTTTTTCTCTGAAGGCTAAAAAGCTGCTCTGAAAGAGAGACATGCTCTCTGACCCAGCAGTTCACAGAAGTTTCCACTGACGTACAGGGACCGTACGAATCCTCCCTACCTCTCTGATAGTTTAGTTCCTTCATTCAGCACTTATTGTCTGTGTCTTCCGAGGACCAGGCTTTTCTAGACTCAACACAGCTACAAAGCAGTGGCTACTCCCACCTCTGTGCTACTCACATTCTAGTAGGCTCAAACTAATCTGATGGGATAAATTGTGTGGAAAACGATAAGGGGAAAAGAGTAGGGGTCAGTTGAGGGGCTCCGGGTGACACGGGAGCAGAAATCTCAAGAGAAAGGGGGTACCTGGGGTGGGGGTGGGGTGGAGAGTGGCACCAGCACCAGATCCAAGACCAGGAGGCTTTGAGAGCTTGTGCAGAGGGGGACACGTGTTTAAAAAGTTGCAGTGACTTCAGGGCGCCTGGGTGGCTCAGTCGGTTAAGTGGTTAAGCATCCTGACTTCGGCTCGGGTCATGGTGTCCCAATCTGTGAGTTTGAGCCCCGTGTTGGGCTCTGTACTGACAGCTCGGAGCCTGGAGCCTGCTTCGGCTTCTGTGTCTCCCTTTCTCTCTCTCTCTCTCTCTCTCTGTCCCTCCCCTGCTTGTGCTCTTTCTCAAAAACAAATAAACATTAAAAAAAAAAATTAAAAGGTCGCAGTGACTATGTTGAGACAAACTTGGGCAGAGCTGGAAGCAGGGGGAGCGGCCGAAGCTGCTGGAATAATCTAGGCATGAGGTGGTGGGGGTTGGGCCAGGTCATTAATACAGCTGGTGGCGAGTGCGTTGATTTACAGGTGGCCGCGAGGGCAGATGTATTTTCAGGTTGGATGTGAGTGTGAATGAAGGGAGTTGAAAGTCCCAGGCTTTGCTGGAGGGATGACGAGGCTGCCATCCCTGAGACGGGAGGCCGAGGGAGGTCAGGCCAACCCACCGGTGGGTCAGCACGGTGATATGGAGGTGACGGATGGACATCCAGTTGAGTGGGCTGGTGTCTGTCTAAAGCTAGCTCAGGGCCCCCAGAATCTGCCAGCATGGTGGTTTGTTAAGGCCCGGGGCAGGAGGGGAGAACAGAGACCACAGCCTCCACAGACGTCCTCAGGGAATCAAGAGCAGCAACCGATGAGGTAAGAAGGGATCAGAGGAGGAGGGTGCTCTTTTTATTTAAAAATTTTTTTTAAATGTTTATGTATTTTTGAGAGAGAAGGCAGAATGTGAGTGGGGGAGGAGCAGAGAGAAAGAGAAATCCAAAGCAGGCTCCAGGCTCTGAGCTGTCAGCACAGAGCCCGACGCAGGGCTCGAACCCACGAGCTGTGAGATCATGACCTGAGCCGCAGTCAGGCGCTTAACCAACTGAGCCGCCCAGGTGCCCCGACGGGAGAGGGTGTTCTGGGGAGGAGGGAGTGGTCACTTGGACAGGTACCGCTGGTGAGTCCAAACGATGGATGGGAGTGAGGGCTGACCGGGCATAGCCATGTGGGGGTCAGTGGTGGGTGGTTCAGACAAAGGCCTGCCGGGAGCAGCAGGATTACGGGAGAACGAGATCTACTGACTGAAGAAGGATTGGGGGGCACCTGGGTGGCTTAGTCGGTTGGGCGTCTGACTCTTGATTTTGGCTCAGGTCTCATGGTCATCGCGCTGAGCGTGGAGCCTGGTTAAGATTTTGTCCCTCTGCTGGAGCTCTCCTAAAAAAAAAAAAAAACAAACAAACAAAGCAAACAACAACAAAAACAACTAAGAAGGATCAGGGGTCCAACTAGTCTTGGATAGTCTAAGAGCCCTGACACCGGAGTGACCCAATAGAGACGACACACGTTGATTCTCGTCCTGTAGACAGAGGGCCATATGGCCAAGTGGACAGCGGCCACACAAGGTCTGTAACCTGAAAGGCTACACCCCTCACCCGTCCTCTGCTACCTCCTCCCAGTGTGTCCATGATGTTCAGGGCAGCCCCGTGGGGGGAAAAGCTGGGAAAAACCTCCCTGGGCTTCCAAAAATTAGAGCAGCTCTTCTCCACCTCCAACACACGTCCAGATCTGTGACTCCCAGGCCGGGGTGGGCGCCTCTAAGCAGGCTGACCGGTGATGCCCACACTGCTGGTTGGCATTCGGGCAGCATGCGCAGGCCTGGATGGAATGCTATGCAGTTGTGGAAAAGGATGTGGACTGGACGTATGCGCGCCGGGACAGAAAGATGTTCCAGAAACAACAGCTGGAAAGAGCAGGCTATAAAATATCTGTTGCCTGAAATCATTGTATGAGAAAAATAATCACACGAAACCGTTACCTAGGGTTTTTCTGGATGGTTTTGTTCCTCGTGTTTCTCTGTTTTCTCCTATTTCCTTGATTAATAATGTTACTCACGCAGTCAAACCATATCTTAAAAAAAAGCAGGCCTTGCAGCTGCTGGCTCTGAGCTCCCCAAACACAGAACACCCCAGAGAGGAGGCCTGGACTAACCAGCCTCAAAGCCTGGTGCGCTGGACACGTCCTCCTGTCTGTGGAGGGAGATGCGTGGTCTGGCATAGAAGCTCCCTGAGGGCAGGGCGTTACGGGGCATTACCCTGAGGCACCTAGAGAAGTGCCTGGCATCTGTGAGTCTCAACTACCACCGGGAGGCAGCCCACACAAACAGGTGGTTGAAGAGGCCGTGTGGCATCCGTGAGAAAGGCCTTCACCAGCAACTTTGGGCAGGCCCTCTGTGTCACCCTGCAGGCCAGGAACTCAGTCCGTGTCCTGGCTCCTTTCTGAGCAGATGATTTGGTGAAACACAGCCTCTCCCCCTCAGCAGGCTCTGACTCCTCAGGTCAAGGGTGCCTGGGCTCCCTGCCCCTGCTCTGCGGGGATCCCAGCCTGGCAGGGCCTGAACTGTAAGGGGAGGTGGGCTGTGATGATAAGAGGCCAGATTAGGCCAGCTCTGCTCTGCAGGAAGCCCAGCCCAGGTTCTGGAAGTTTCCCAAGTGTCCCCTTCCCTCAGCAACACCCCCCCCCCCGCGCCCACTCACCTTTAACCTTTGCTAGGTTGTTCTTTAACTAGGGAGATTCATCAGAGAGCTCCCTCCCCGGACAGATCCCAGGATGAGAGCAGGCACCTATCAGGTAAGACCTTCCTCCCTGCACACGGGGAGGCGCGGGTCATGGGGTGGGGAGAGGGAACCCCCCCTCCCCCCGACTCCCCTTCCTTTCTGTGGCCCAGCTGAACCCCGGGCGGGGCAGGCTTGGCCGAAGTGCCCCCAGCCTTGAGTCACTTTGTGTCCAGCCCCGATGGAGTGTGGGAAGCCCAGGGATGAAAGGTACCAGGTCCCTGGCTGCCTCCTAACCGGTGGCTGAGAAGGCGTGCTTGCAAGCAACCAATGGAGCAGCCGGGCCCATCGGGGAGTCTCTTCTCAGCTAACACTGCCTCCTTTCAGGTAGGAGAGCTTGCTTACCTCCGGCAAGTGGCCTGCCTCTCTAAGTTTCCATTTCTTTCTTTTGTGTAATGTATGTAAATATCTCTCGGGGCCCAAGGCCATCATCAGTGACAGCCCCAGGGGAAAACCTTGTTATCCATAAACCTTGTTCTACAGGCTTGGGGTGATCAGGGGCCCCCTGTGGACCTCAGTTCCACCTTTTAACCCAGCTGGGGGCTCCACAGAAGCCCCCGCCCACTGTGGCCGTCGGGAGACTTGAGGAAGAGGGGAGGGTCTCCAGAGCATAACTGACGGCAGCCATGGGTGGTGCAGAGGCCCCTCAAGGGTCTTCCTGTGCTCCGGGCAGGATTTCACCTGATTCGCCTCAGGACTGCTCCGTAAGGAAGGGTTGTCCACTGCAATAATGATAGTAATAATGGTAACGCTCAGCTCATCCAGTGCTTACCATCTGCTGGGCTCTGTGCCCATGTTGTCTCCATTTTCTAGATCTGGAAGGTGTGGTTCCGAGCAGTTAAGGACTTAGCCCGTTAAAGATTTCTAACCTCTGTTCCCATGTGGAGCACTTGCTCTGTGCTCCCGGCCCAGCACCCCCTCATTGTCCCTTATCCCAGCTCTCTGAGGCGTGACACCCATTTTACAGATGAGAAAATGGGGTTCCGAGAAGGGAGGAGACTGGCCCAGGACAGCCCCCACCTTCCAGCCCTGCCCCAGAGAACCCTGGCTAGGGCTTCAGAAGTCCAAGGGAGATCATATTTCATGTCCTGACAGGCACTAGACAAGTTGCCTGGCCTCATCCAACCTCAGTTTCCTCCTCTGCTGAATGGGCACACAGCAAGCCAGGATGTCCCAGCCTCTCAGGATGGGAGTCTGAATTCCAGGCCGGAACGGCCAGGGCTGCCATCAGTCAGCGTCCCCTGGGGCTGCACACCAGGCCAGGCCACTCTTACCCAGACCCTCCCGACCGATGGAACCTCCTGCCCAGCAGCAGAGGAGGGGCGGCCCCAGATGCCAGGGTTTGAGAGCAGTAGCTCCTGAGAGGTCATCTAGGCCCCCTTCCCTTAGAGGCCAAGGACCCTAGGGAGGAGACGTGACTTGCCCAGGGTCACATGGTGTGGGTGGGGAGAGAGAACTGAGGGCAGCTCCCCTCCCCCCCGGGGCTGTGGGGTATTGACATTTCACACGGCATGGCATCTCGAGGCAGTAGGGCCTCCTTCTAAAGTAAGAGTCAGCTCAAGGCTAGAGCCCCATTAATCAAATGACCAGGTCACCTCACAGAACACAGGGCAGGTGGGGGGCAGGGTCCAGGGGTGGCCTAGGGCTGGATCTGGGGCCTGGCATTACAGACCCCTGTGAATGACTAAGCTACTTTCCCTATTAGCCCTTTGTTGCCTCCCCTGAGAAATGGGTCCATGCATAAAGATCTCTGCACAGTGCTGATGTCTAGAAAGAATTCATGTTAACTATTATTTAAGGAAATCAAGTCACAGGAGCTCCTGGCTGGCTCGGTCAGGAGAGCATGCGACTCTTGATCTCAGAGTCATGAGTTTGAGCCCCATGTAGAGTTTACTTAAAGTTAAAAAAAAAAAAAAAAAAAAAAAAAAGCCAGGATTCCCAAGCTTGATCAGAGAGTCTAAGCAGTAGCCTCTGGGGGTGCCTGGTTGGCTCAGCAACTCTTGATCTCGGGATGGTGAGTTTGAGCCCCACGTGGGGTGTAGAGATTACCTTAAATTTCAAAAATAAATAAAATTGAAAAAATAAATCAGCAGCAGCTGGAATCAAATGGCGCTGGGACTGGGCTGAATCCTTGTTGCGCTGCTTGCCAGCTGGTGAGTTTCGCAGGTGATTCTGCACTTCGGGTCCTCAGTTCCTCACCTGTCAAATGGGCTCGGCACAGCACCCGCCAAGGAGGAGAGTCATAAATCTCACACCCCAGGGAGCAGGTGCTGAAGACAATCGCGGTTGCAGAGATAACCAGTTGAAAAAAAAAAAAATTCCACACACTTTTCCCACTCTGAAAATCGCTAAAACAGCTGCCGTCAGGTCTGAGCAGGGAAGGCCTCAGCCAGCTCAAAGAGCACCCAGGCCCCTGGGGAGGAGGCCAGACTGAAACCAGTCTCTCTGTGGCCTGGCACACCGCATGGCCTCGCAGCACACACCTGGTGCTCTCGGAAGGCCCCTCTTGGCCACGAGTGGGGACCCCAGGAATATCTCAAGAACATCCGTAAAGCCATGCCCAGTCCCAGGTCAGTTCTGGCCCCTTACTGGGCCTCAGTGTCCCCAACTGCTGGACAGATGGCGAGCAGAATGCGGCAAGAAGGTGACATTTGAGCAGAAACCTGGGATGATGGAGAGTGGATTGTGGGAACTTTTGGAGGAAGAATGTTCTAGGCAGAGGGAACCACCAGTGCAAAGGCCCTGAGGCTTTGTCCTGCATTTTCTGTGTGACCTTCGGCTGGCTGAGTAACCAGTCTGTGCCTCAGTTTCCCATCTGTATAATGAGAATCATCACAGTGCTCGAAAAGCTGTTGTGAGGGTCACAAGAATACCTTTAACGCTGAGGGCTCACTGGACGTGGACCTTTGCAGAGGTGGGTGTGAGCCTGGTGTATCTGAGGACCACAGAGAAGGCCAGCAGGGCTGGGGGCTGCAGGTGATGGTAAGAAATGGGTAGTTCAAAAGCTTGGATTTCATCCTAAATGCAATGGGAAGCCACTGGATGGGTTTAAGCAGAAGAGAGACGAGATCTGATTTTCTTTCTCCTTCGTTTTTTTAAATGTTTGTTTATTTTTGACAGAGAGAGAGAGAGAGAGAGAGAAAAAGCATGAGCGGGGGGAGGGGCAAAGAGAGAGGGAGACACAGAATCGGAAGCAAGGCTCCAGGTTCCGAGCTGTCAGCACAGAGCCCGACGCGAGGCTCGAACTCACAGACCGCGAGATCATGACCTGAGCCGAAGTCGGATGCTCAACCGACTGAGCCACCCAGGCGCCCCTGATGTTCTTTAAAAATGACAGGATGCAGGGCTCCTGGGTGGCTTAGTCAGTGAAGCATCCGACCCGATTTCAGCTCAGGTCGTGATCTCATGGTTTGTGAATTCGAGCCCTGTGTCGGGCTCCGTGCCGACAGTGCAGAGCCTGCTTGGGGCACCCCCCACCTCTCTCTCTCTCAAAAAAAAAAAAAAAAATGACAGAGAATGCTTGTAGGGGTCAAGCGAGCAGCATCGAGACCATGGGGCAGACCAGCGGTGGTGGCCTGGAGGGGAGGCAGTGGCCGCTGGGGAGGCCGTAGGGTAAGAGAGGATAGGTGTGTGGATGGCTGGGGTTTGGGGGTGAGGGAGAGGGAGAGGGAAACCCACGGTGAGAGCCGCTGGCTGGATGGTGAAGCTGTGTCCCAGGCTGGGAAGCTCCAGCTGCTTTCAGGGAGGAAACAAGGGAACAAGTGTTAGGGACGGGACCGGCTTAAGACACCCGTGGTCCAGCCTGGGGGAGACGTCAGGAGGCCGCTCGTGTCTGCAGCTCAATGAAGAGGGACATTTGACAGTCAGACATCATCCCAGACCTGGGACCCTGGAGAGAGAAGCCTGAGCCCCGGGTCCTCCAACCTGAAGATGCCGAAGGGGGAGGGTGCAGCCAGCAAGAAGGAAGACGCCGAACCAGGGAGGGAGGTGTCAGGGAGGCCCAGAGAGCACAGGGTTTTGGGAAGAAGGGCCTCATCGCCTCGTAACCTGCCACCCAGGATGGAGGGCGATCAACATGGCACGTGGGGCTCTGGACGCAGTTCCAGTTGTTGCCACAAGGTCATTTTTAGAAGTGGAATTGTGGGATCGAAGGGAGGCCTATTTTTAAGGCCCAGGTGCCCTCCCAATAAACCGAAGTCGCAAACACCTTAGTAGCCAAAGTCAGGCTGGGGATTTGGCATGGCCACACCCCTGAGGATATGGAATTCTGTCTAAGGCAAGTTTTCTCCCCCACCCCCCCAAAATTGCAGGAAAGTGTTTTCTTGTAGGTCACAGGATGTAAATAGATATTCAGAGGTGGAAGAGTTCTTATGTTTATCTGAGGGTCAGACCACAGAGTGGCTATCAGGCTTCTGCACAAACCTGCCAATGAGTTTGAATCTCCCTTGGTCCCTCGGAAGGGACAGCTGGATCCCTCTAGTCTAGGCTCTCGGGAGTATGGTGGCCTTTGGAGACTCTTGTCCTCAGTGAAACACCCACCCATAGATTTCCCCAGAAATTACAGGCTGGGACACAGCTCGCTTCAGCTCTCACCCTACTAAGGAGGAGACAAGAGTCAGACAGGATCAGAGAGGAGGAGCAAACTGCCCAGGGCCACACAGTGCATTGACAACAGGAAGCCAGGGTCACCAGACAGGTGAGCCTCCATTTCTCCACCTGTAAAATGGGACCGATCTCTAATTCACACAATTTTCAAGAGCATGAAAAGAGATTGCAGTGTCAAGTACAGGGGTGTTTCATAAACGTTAGCTAAAAGCAACCCACTCAAAGAAAGCAAAGGAGAGGGGCACCTGGGTGGCTCAGTCAGTTGAGCATCTGACTCTTAGTCTTGGCTCAGGTCATCTCACAGTGGTGAGTTTGAGCCCCGCATTGGGCTCTGCGCTCACGGCACAGATCCTGCTTGGGATTCTTCCTCTCTCTCTGCCTTTCCCCTGCTTGTGCTCTCTGGTGTCTCTCAAAATAAATAAAAACTTGAAAAAAAAAAAAGCAAAGGAGAAAGGTGTAGGGGAAAGGTATTTCAGGCAAAGGTAAACGTGAGCAAAAGCTTGGAGGTGGAAAACACCAAGGCCAATTCCTAAAATCCTTGCCAGCTGCAGGGATGGTACTCTGCGATGATGGAAGAGGCGGGAGGTGGGCAGAGGCCGGGCTACAGTGATTTTATGGGCTTCATTAATCTTGAGGGATGATGGGCCAAGAGAGGGGACAGCGACTCAGGCAGATCTGAGTTTAGAAGGTCCATCCTGGGGCCCAGCATGGGGCCTTTGCTGACCTACTGTGTGACCCCAAGCTATCTCTGTCCCTCTGTGGGCCTCAGTCTCCTGCCCCTTACAGCAGTGAGCTTGGCTCTGATCAGGGTTATCAGGGTTTGCAAATACGTATCTTCCTTTGTGAGTTTCCTTCTTTACTGTCTTCTCACCTTGGACAGGGCGCTCTGCAAACAGGACTGTCATCTGTCCCCTGAACCCAGCGTCTCCAGCACCAAGCCCAGGGTTTGGCACAGAGATGAATGAGTGAATGAATGAATGAATGAATGACATCCTTTCCCTTTGGGAGGGTAGGGGTTCAAGCAGAATCCCTCTGCCCTTGCTCCCCACCCCACACACCTGCAAATCTGCCTCCAGTGGGTGGACACCCACCCACTTGCCAATTTCCTTACGCCCCCCCCCCCCCTTTTCTGGCCAGACAATGGCTTTGTTTCTATTGTTCTTTCTGGAGAGCAAGAACGTTTTCATGCTGGCACCAAAAGGCCAACATTTGTTCTCCAGGTGTATGATGAAGATGCCTTTGATTTTCTCCTTGACACATTTCTGTTTCCTTCTGTGCACATCTGTGACTTTGAAAATAAAAAGCAATGATACAAAGGAGGTTAGCAGCCCCTACATACAAATGGTTTTTAATTATAAGAAAAAGTGCTCAGCATCCTCCAAATGAAATAAATGCAAATAACAACTAGCTTGAGAATCCATTTTTCCAACTATGCAGTTGGCGCGGATCAAAGTTGGCTAAGGTCTGTGTTGGTGAGGAAATGGCTGGCTCACGCCCTGTGGGGCCCCCGGGGTAGAAATGAATCCCGCCCCTTTGGAAGACAATGTGGCAATGTGTGTAGTGTCAGTTGCCAATCACCTTTGACCCAGCAATTGCATTGCGCTTCTTGGAATTCATCCGTCAGATGTGCTCACACATGGAAGAAATGATGAGGGTAAAACGTTACCCATTGCAACATTGCTTGTGATGGCAAAATATTAGAAACCTAAACGTCCATCAGTAGGAGACGGGGGGCCAAATCCACAGTAGTACTTGCTTGCACACCAAGAAGTGCTGCGGCAGCTTCAAGAAAAACAAATTAGCCAGTGGGGCAACTCTTCTGTACTGACACCGTCCAAAATAAGGCCCAGGATGTAAAGGCATGTGGAAAACGTACCACGCAGAGTTGTGTATACAGTCTGCTCTCTGCAAGTATAAAATAGGAAATCTGTATTTGTATTTGCTTGCAAATGTATAACCGATCTCTGGAGAGATCACAGGAAACCTAACTGGTTGCTTTTGGAGAGGGTAATTAGGATGTGGAGACCTGGCGTGAGAGGGAAGCTTTTTACCGTACAGTTTTTGTACTCCTGACTATTTGAGTGATATGATGATGTAGCATCCATCCAAAAAATCCTAGGACTTAAAAATCAAATAAAAACAGGAAAAGTTTTTTTTTTTTTTAAGTTTATTTATTTATTTTGAGAGGAGAGAACGTGAGCAGGTGAGGGGCAGAGGGAGAAGGAGAGAGAGAATCCCAAGCAGGCTTCATGCTGCCAGCACACAGCCTGATGTAGGGCTCAAACCCACGAATTGTGAGATCCTGACCTGAGCCAAAGTCGGAGGCTCAACAGGTTGAGCCACCCGGGCGCCCCAAGATTTTTTTTAAGTAATCTCTACACCCAACATGGGATTCAAACTTGCAACCCCAAGATCAAGAGTTGCGCGCACTACAGACTAAGCCAGCCAGGGGCCCCAAAGGAGAAACATTTAAAGCTCCTTTATGATTGTTTGTATGCAGTTGTTAAATTATATACATGTATAAGCGTAGAGAACATTTCATTGATGAAGAAGAAGAAAAGGAAGAAGGAGGAGGAGGAAGAGGAAGAGGAGAAGAAGACCAAGAAACGAAAGCACCTCTTTATTTCCCATGAGGCCAGCCAGGGAGGGGGCGCCCAGCAGTGATGTGAAAAGCAGAAGTCCAGCCAATGGCAGAATCTTCCCAACAAGTTATTTGTTTATTTCAAAATCAAACAATCTCTGATAAATATTTAGCCCCAATGCCTGCCGGAAAGAGGGAGGGAGGTGCTGAAATCCCTTCAGTTGTTTAAAATTGTCTTTGGTCTGTGGGAACTTCCCTAGAGGGCCCCATCCCCCACCTCCAAAAAACCAAAACAAAACCCACACACCTTTCTGGGACCTTTCAGCTATAAAAAGAGAATCTCCGTGCTACTTTTTCCACGGTAGCAGTTGGGGCCAAGAAGGTCGTAGACAGGAAAAAGTTCTGAAAAGTCCAGGACAAATCCGCCTCACCCACAGCTAGGACAGATTACCCACTCTCCACACAAATCTTCCAAAGTGCAAACCTGATCTTGTCATCTTTCTTTAAAACCATTTTATTGTCCAATTTCAATCCAAATTCCTTAGGCTACAAGATCCTGCTGGATCTGGCATTCCGGAGCAACCGGGCCCGACCCAGTGGAAATGCAGTTCCCTCGGGCTAGTTCCCACCCCACCCCTGCCCTCCTCCAGCCGCTCCCCTTCCCTCTTCAGTCCTTTGCTTTTCAACACGGCGTTCCCTCCCTACGCCTGGAAACCTCTCCCCCGACCAGCTCCGCTACCTCGCGGACTCGGCCTCATCCCCAGGCCTCTGCCAGGATGCCGCTTCTTCCAGGACGCCTTCCCAGGCTGCCCAAGGACGGTAGGGGCCCCAATAGCGTAGGAGCTTGGGGTTTGGTCTATTGCCTCGCAATCGGGCTGTCAGATTCAGGAGTGCAGGGGCCAAATACCTGCAGCCTGCGGTCTCTGCTTTAAACTGCGACATTTTGGGGCTCGAATTCAATGACCTCCACACAAGTGTAAGCTAGCTCCGTCTTCCATCCGGACTCATAGCTGGTTCTGGCAGAGCACCAGGCTGAGGATTACAGACTGGGACTGTTTTGGGGGGTGTGGCCGGGTCCTGGAGATTCTCAGTGCTTGCAGAGGGAGCCTGGGAAGCGTGCCCCTCACAAACAGGGGCGAAACCCTCCGGCCAGCCCCGGCGCCTGCCCCTCACAAGTATGGCATCCTGCGGATTCTTATTGGTCCTGGAGGACTCCCTGGGCAGCGCTGATTGGCGAACGGCGGGGGCGAGGCGAGGCGAGGCGAGGCGAGGCGGGGCGGGGCGTCTCCGGCCCGGCCTAAAGTGCGGCTGCGGGCACCGGGACTATGTCGCAGGCACGCCGCCACCTGCGACCCGCTCTTTTCCTGGCGGCGGTTTCTGCGCGCGTTGCAACTACCGGGGTAGCGGCTCGGCGAGGGTTGAGCGCGTGGCCCGCCCCGCAGGAGCCCGGCATGGAGTATCAGGTATCAGGTATCGGGCGGGGGAGGGGGTGGGGGGTCGTACGACGACACGTGGGTCGGGCCTGAGTCACTGCTGTGAGGGACTCGGGGGCGGGGACAGTCTGGAGCCCGGGGGTGGGGACATGGACCAGGAAGTTGGGCCTGGTCCGCGGGTTCTGGGAATTCTGAGGCTGAAGTGTCCCCGCCTTAGAAAATGGGAAAGGGCTCCCACTGCTAGGGGAAAGAGGTCCATTGTCTCCGGAGTCCCAACTAGCAGGTGGGCGGTGGGAGGAGAAAGGGTTCTAGGAGTTCAGACTTGAGAGATCTAGGAGTTTATTTATTTATTTTGAATTGTTTATTTAAATAAACTCTACACCTAACGGGAGGCTCGAACTCATGACCCCGAGGTGAAGAGTCACATGCTCTCTAGACTGAGCCAGTCAGGCGTCCCAAGTGACCCAGGAGTTTAGATCTGGGGTTGGAGTCTCCAGGAATCAGGGCATGAAGATCCGAGTGCCTAGAATTGGACCTCTGGCAGGCAGGAATCAGTGGCATTGGTGGAGGCAAGAATCTGGAAAGCGGAAAGTTTCCACCTGGCTCTGTTGCAGGGGTTGATTTCCACAGATCACACCTGATGCCTGCCAGGCAGATGGTAGTTTAATGGGTGTGGAGCCTGCAACCGGTTATTGAAGCCCTAAGGGGAAATAAATAGCATCTCCACTCTAACCCCCAGTGTAGACTCTCCTGAGGCTGTACCTACCCACCTTTCTGACCGGTGACTCCCCCGCATACCCTGTCTTCCTTAAGGCTCCTTCTCTTCCCCACCTGGTTGCTTCAAGCAGCTCTTCTTTGGGTCAGAATGTGGAACCCCAATCCTCAGGATTGGGCATGGAAGCCTCCAGGGATTCCTGGTTCTAATTCCTCCAGTTCTAAGACCCCAGCCTTCTGTGGTTCTGCTCCTGACTCCCCTCACCCGCCCCCCCGCCCCTCCAGTTTAGGGACCAGTATAGCAGTGGCCCTCATTGGAGGGAATGAGCTCAAAGGCTCCCGTGCAAGGAGTGAGGATCCGGAAGCCCGAATTGGGAACGGGAAGCAAGGCTTCTCCCGTTCCAAGGAACCCGCCTTGCCTGACATTCCTGGGTGGGGCCGATCAGCTTCAGGCTCCCATCGCTGCCAGAGCTGGAAAGATGCCACTTCTCCCTCACACGTGCCTAACCTCTAGGCTGGGGCAACAGGGCTGGCACTTATTGGTAGGCTTAGTGCCCTGGCTTGGCCATTGATGCCCTGGGGTTCCTCTGTTTCTGTGGACCCCTGGTGAGTCTTAACCTGCTGCCTGGGGACTGTGGTTGCCAGGATGCTGTGCGCGCACTGAACACCCTGCAGACCAATGCTGGCTATCTGGAGCAGGTAAAGCGCCAGCGGGGTGACCCTCAGGCACAGCTGGAAGCCATGAAGCTGTACTTGGCACGGAGTGGGCTGCAGGTAAGGATGCGCAGGGCCTGTGACGGCCCCCTACCCCACCCCCATCCCCTTTCTAGGAGTCTTGTGGCTGAGATGGTTGTCTGTATGTCTCAGGTGGAAGACTTGGACCAGCTGAACATCATTCACGTCACTGGGACCAAGGGGAAGGTGAGGGATGGGACTCAGGGGTCGGCTATCTACTTGATGGGGTGGTAGCGTCCAGCCTGCCCAAACAAGACCTTTTCTTTCTAGGGTTCCACTTGTGCCTTTACTGAACGTATTCTCCGAAGCTATGGCCTGAAGACAGGATTCTTTAGGTACTGAGGTGTGGCGAAATTTGGGATCCCTTAGCTCTCGGCGGTGGGGGGGTGGGGGGGGGGCGGCTATGGAACCAGCTAGCAGGAGCTCAGCTTCCTGTCTCTCTGCCCAGTGTGGATTTGTTCAGTAAGCATCCCATTAGCATTAGTGACCTCAGTTTAACATATTGTCCAAGTTTGTGGCAGTCTTTTAATTTTCGTTGTGAAACAAATTTGGGGGAGGGGCAGGGACTTGAATATGTAAGCTAAATATGTAGCTTCATCAGGCATCTTTTTATTAACTTAAATTTCATGTACAGTTTTTATTTTATTTATTAAAATATTTTTTTTCAATATTTATTTTTGAGAGACAGAGCATGACGTGGGGGGGGGGCAGAGAGAGCCAGGGAGGCACAGAATCTGAAGCAGGCTCCAGGCTCTGAGCTGTCAGCACAGAGCCCCACGCGGGGCTCGAGCTCATGAACCATGAGATCATGACCTGAGCCGAAGTCGGACGCTTAACCGACTGAGCCACCCAGGTGCCCCTCCGTGTACAGCTTTTAAATCACAGAGAAATCTTTATCAATTCAGACGTCTTTGCAGTAAGGAGCAGAAAACCTAGCTTGGAAGGGTATAAACGATGAGATGGTTTGTGAAGTCCGAGGCAAGGATTCCCTTCTGCCCGGCCTGCCTCAGCTGCTATTTGCTTTTGACGTAGCACCTCCTCATGGTTGCACTCAGGCACCCAAACTCACACCTGAGGATGGGGTGTGGCCTAGATATGGGTCCCTCCTCCCTGGGCTGCACCTGCCCCTCCTTAGCTGGTCACCTGAAAAGCAGGTTAATGTGATGCGCAGTTGCTCAGAATTTGCTCCTTGGGTTGGGGGCACTTAAGATTTTTGCTTCCTTTTATTTTACCGGTTCCATCAAGTGACTTTCTGTAAGCGGCTTCTTTTCACAGTTCTTTGTTCAGAATAAAGAAATACAGAGAAGGACTCAGAATGTGAGAGAGGCTTGCAGAATTCAAATATGGGCTGACAGTCTCTCTTCTAAAACAATTTTTGGGCTACAAACCCCGGCCTTTGACTTTGGCCCCCGTAGCCTCGTGGGCTGGCCTGGGGATGCAGCCTGACCACCCAGATGGGCCTTGCCCTTGAGGGCTGGAAGACGACATTGCGGGGGCAGATGTCAGCAGAGTGACTGATGGGTGTGTGGTGGGTAGAGCACGGGGAGCTGTTGGAGCCTGGAGCACATCCCTGATCAGCCGGGTGGAGGGGTCCTTTCTCCTTTTCTGGAGGAGGCACCATCTCAGTCAAGGCCTGTGGAGTGAGCCGGGTGGTGGGGAGGGTGGGTGGGCTGGGCTGGAGGAACTCAAAATAGGCCAGAGGGGCTGGGGCACAGGGAACTGTTGGGATGTGGGAGAGGTGACACACAGGCCAGTGGCATCAGCCCCACCAGGGCCTGGGAGGCTGGGTGAGGAGCCTGGGACTCTGCAGGGCAGAGGGAAATCCTAGAAGGGCTATCGGCAGGGCAGTGACATGGTCAGAGTTGGGTCTCTGAAGACGGACGGGTCTGAGGGGCTCGGGAAGGGAGTCCTGACGACTACAGGTGTCCCGGCAGCTCTCCCCACCTGGTGCAGGTGCGGGAGCGGATCCGCATCAACGGGCAGCCCATAAGCCCTGAGCTCTTCACCAAGCACTTCTGGCCCCTCTACCACCGGCTGGAGGAGACCAAGGTGCCCATGCAGGAGGGCTGGTGGGTGGGCAGGGCAGGGGTGCTGGGGAGCCCCGGAGGGTGCCGTGTGTCCCGGGACCCCATCTCCCCAGAGCAGAGGTGGCAGGGCCCCAGGCCGACGTGTTCTCGTCCACAGGACAGCAGCAGCTATGTCTCCATGCCCACCTACTTCCGCTTCCTCACGCTCATGGCCTTCCACGTCTTCCTCCAAGAGAAGGTACGTGCCCACCCCCCAGAGTCCTGTGTCTGAGGGGAATCCCAGCAGGCCGGATGCCCCGGGTCCCTGACATGCCGTCTGGTCCTTTGTAGGTGGACCTGGCAGTGGTGGAGGTGGGCATTGGTGGCGCTTACGACTGCACCAACATCATCAGGTGAGGGCAGCTGCTTGGGGAGGAGGACGGTGGCCGTGAGCCCAGGGCCGGGGCGACACGGTCACGGCCCCCCCTGTCTTCTGCAGGAAGCCTGTGGTGTGTGGCATTTCCTCTCTTGGCATCGACCACACCAGCATTCTGGGGGACACAGTGGAGGAGATCGCGTGGCAGAAAGGGGGCATCTTCAAGGTGACCAGGCAGCCCTGGGGAGGGGAGGCACATGGACGATCTGGGCCTGGCCCTCCAGGCTCAGGAAAGCGGGGCTGGGGCAGGGTAATCTGTGTCCTGACTCGGGATAAGGTCTTGGGCGTCAGTGGGGCTTTGTGTGTGACTGTAGCAAGAGCCCTGCCTCTGGCCATAGTGTCCCCTCGAGGGGTTCCCATTGGCCCTACAGACAGAGGCTGAGTGAGCTGCCCGGGGATAGAGGCCCCTCAGCAGCTCGTCTCACCCACTCCCTCTCCTCCGCAGCGTGGCGTCCCCGCCTTCACCGTGCTCCAGCCTGACGGTCCCCTGGCAGTGCTGAGGGACCGGGCCCAGCAGATCTCAGTGAGTCCGGAGGCACTGGGGCAGGGCTGGCAGCTGACTGGGGAGGCACGTTATCCTTTTGGGCCTCAGTCTGCCCGTCTGTGCAGTGAGGGGCAGCTGCTCGTCCAGCTGGAGCACATCTTGGTTTTCCAAGGAACAGGGCTTGGTGGGTTCTGGTGGATGGGGAAAGATGGGCTGACACCGTCAAGGAGAGGAGCTTCTGGCCGAGGCAGCTGCAGCAGCACCCCCTGAGCAGCGGTCGGCCATCTCCTTGGCAGTGTCCTCTCTATCTGTGCCCACCACTGGAAGCCCTGGAGGAAGGGGGGCCGCCGCTGACCCTGGGCCTGGAGGGAGAGCACCAGCGGTCCAATGCCGCCTTGGCCTTGCAGCTGGCTCGCTGCTGGCTACAGCAAAAGGACTACCGGGGTAAGTGGGCAGGCAGTGGCTGGACGGGCGGGCTCGCGGGTAGGGGACAGGTGGAGACTGCCTCTGAAGGTCCTGTGCACACGCAGTCCCACGCAGCAGGCCCTCCCCCCTCCCCCCTCCCCCGCTCCTCAGGCATCGGGGAGCTGAAGGTGTCCAGGCCCAGTCTCTTGCGGCAGATGCCCCTGGCGCCCGTGTTCCAGCCCACGACCCACATGCGGCATGGTGAGTTGGACCTGCCCGCCCAGCCAGGCCCCTTCAGATGTCTGTTCGAGTTTGCTGTTTTGAGAGATGGGGGCAATCGGAGGTGGTGCCCAGGACAAAGGACTCTGAAGTCAGTAAGCTTCCCTGACTTTGAGTTCATGGACTCCGAGCCTCAGTTTTCCCACCTGCCAAATGAGGTGATGATGGGACCCGCTGTGAGGTGGCATGAGTGGGGGGCTGAGGCCAGGGCCTGGTGGGTTTGGGATGTAGTGCCCTGCCAGAGGCACCTGCTGTTAGTGTCCTTCTCGTCTTCATTCCCGTAAGACCATGAGGTTCTTGAATGGTGACCTTGTCTGGCTTCTTGCTTCCCCCCCCACCAAGACTTGCAGCACATAGTAGGCGCTCACAGCCGCCAAACCCTGTTAGCAGGTGATTCCAGTGTGCCCACTGTGTGCCGGGCCCCATATCAGGGCCATGACAGTCCCACAGCTAGGTACCTCACATCCTAGCACGCTTGTTCAATGGGTTAGGGCTCTCTGCCTCCATGTAATAGGGGACTAATATATGGTAGTCCCCTCTCAGGTCTGCCTGGAAGATTCCGTTAGAGGAGGCAGGCACCAAGAGGTGCCTGGCACCTAACGCTGCTAAGAAGCTTCTTGGCTCATCAGCTGACCCCCCCCTCTGAGCGGCGGCGGCCCTGCGGGCGGGTTGGTGTGTGCAGGACTAGGGTGGGAGACGGCTGCCTTGCCCCCTCCAGGGCTTCGGGACACGGAGTGGCTGGGCCGGACGCAGGTGCTGCGGCGCGGGCCCCTCACCTGGTACCTGGATGGCGCGCACACCGCCAGCAGCATGCAGGCCTGCGTGCGCTGGTTCCACCAGGCGCTGCACCGCCGCCAGAGGCCGAGTCGGTGAGCTTCGGGCGGGGGCGGGCCCGGGGGGGGGGGGGGGCCTCAGGGACAGGGTCAGGGTCAAGACTGGGCCAGTAGAGGGGACAGAGGGGCGGGACTGGGGACCCTGCTGGGACTGGATCTGCGGGGGAAGTGGAGTGGTTTCTGGAGGAAGGATGGGGTGGGGCCCGCGAAGAAGCCTGGGAGGTACGTGTCTCCGACCTGCCTCCTCTCCCCTCTCCCAGCGGCTCTGAGGTGCTTGTCCTGCTTTTCAACTCCACCGGAGACCGGGATCCCGCAGCACTGCTGAAGCTGCTGCAGGTGAGGGGCCAGCCGGGGGTTGGGCGGCAGGCCGACTAGCCCACCTTCTGGCTGTCGCGTCCCCAGGGGTGCCTTCATCCCTGAGCCTCTGTTTCTTCAACTATAAAATGAGGCTCCCGCGAACCGAACTGAGGATCAAACGTAAAAGCACCCACACGTTCGTAGCCAAGTCTAGTCCCAGGTCACTGTCGTCGTCCTCCCGGGTCAGGCTCATGCCCAGGGTTAGAGGAGGGACTAGGTAGTAGCCTGAGGCGTAAGCCGTGGACTCACTGGTCGTGGCTCTTCAGACATTAGCATGTGACTCTGGACAAAAGTGGCATTTCACTGGGCTTCATTCAGTTTGCCTTTCCAGAAAACGGGGGTGCTACCAAGGTGACGTGCTTATTGACTTTGGTTTAAGGAGTTTCCAGGTTATAGAGCAGGTAGGGGCCCTGCTCTGCTCAGGGAAACTGAGGCCGCCCTCGGCTGTCAGGGCTGAAGTGGTTCCTAGGGATCACTTCCTGTTTCACAGACCAGGAGGCTGAAGCTGTTCACCTGTTGTGCAGACAAAGCCTTTCCCCATCCTGGACTTGAGACGTGCTCAGTAGCTGGGTGATCTTAAGCAAGTACCCCCCGCCCTGCCTCTGTTTCCCTGTCTGTACAGTGGGGTCTTGCTGCCCAGGCCACCGGCCTGCAGGGTATATTGAGATAGATGGGCCGCGGAAGTGCTATGGCTGGGTTCATACAGCATGACACCAGTTCAGCCGGGGTGAGGGCATCTCCAGGGATGGGGACGTGTGGGGGCCTGGGGGCGGGGCCCTCTCTCAGGGCTCTGACACCAAGTTTTTCCTCTCGGCCTTCTAGCCCTGTCAGTTTGATTATGCTGTTTTCTGCCCTAACCTGACAGAGGTCTCAACTGTTGGCAATGCAGGTAAGAGGTGACAGGATGGTCCCAGAGAGTGGGCGGGGGGGGGGGGGGGCATTGCACTGCTTAAGGCCCTTAGGTGGACTCCTCTGTTGGTGACAGTGGGGGCTTCTGAATTGGAGGTCCGGGGTAGGAGCTAGATTTGGATACATTTTGGATATTGTGGCCATAGTACCGACAAAAGAATTACTGGGGAGAACCGTTTTCAAAATGCACGTTGCAACCCACTGGTGGTTTGAAAATCAATTTAGTGGGTGTCAAAGCGACACTTTGTTTTAACGAAGTAGAACATGCCTGTGCCTCCTGTACAAAGAGTAGGTACTGTTTTATGAGGATTCTGTTTCAGACAGACAGTATCCACCTAGGTGAGTACGGTGGGTCACGTTCAAAAAAAATTAGAACAGCATAAAAAAATACAGATCCCCAGCATCCGACTGCCGGGGAGAGTTCAGGGATGTGCATTCCTACTTATGCCGGCCCACGTGATGGACGCTGCTTTGCAGATAAAGGCAACGAGACGAGGGTGGGGAGATGTGCTCGGGGGGCAGAAGCCCCAGCTTTGAAGCTAAACCGCCTGGCCCTGCTTCCTCCCGGCTCTGGGACAGTGGGCAAGACACGGAACCCTTCTGCACCTTAGTTTCCTCATAGCATTGCCCGGCGCGAGGACCCGGGATGCGTGTACAGGGCCTGGCGTTAAGCAGGCGCGCACAGCAGGTGTCCCCTGTCGCCCATCCAGACCAGCAGAACTTCATGGTGACCCTGGACCAGGTGTTGCTCCGCTGCCTTGCACACCAACAGCACTGGAGCCGCCTGGACGAGGAGCAGGCCGGCCCGGAGCCTGGTGAGCCCACATCCTCGCTGCTGGCTCCCCACCCGCCCGAGCCCCGTAGCACCAGCTCCCTCGTCTTCAGCTGCATCTCCCATGCCTTGCTGTGGATCAGTCAAGGCCGGGACCCTGTCTTTCAGCCACCCAGTCCCCCGCAGGGCCTCTTCGCCCACCCTGTGGCAGGCAGCGGGGCCGGCGTGCTCCGTGAGGCTGCTGCCATCCACGTGCTGGTCACCGGCAGCCTGCACCTGGTGGGCGGCGTCCTGAAGCTGCTGGAGCCAGCCCTGTCCCAGTAGCCCAGGCAGTGGGGGTGGAAGTGGGGGCCTCCCACACCTGCCATGCATCTCTCCACGAACTGCTACGTTAGGTGCCTTTTGTTTCTTGCTTTTCTGATGGTCTAGACTGGCCCAGGGACCCAGGCTTTAGGCAGCAAGATAGAGGGCTGGAGGTGGGAGGCTGAGATGGGCCATCCTCTGTCTCTGAGCCTAGGGTGCCTCTGGCCTCTTCTTCCTCCCGGCTGAGAGAGCCAGAGGGCTTCCTGGTTGTCCCGCCATCGTGGTTAGGCCTAGACCACGCAGCCCACCTCCCCTCCCACCCTGCCTGCTTCCTGGCTCAGGCTTAGCTTCTTAGGCCAGGCCTAGGGTCCTGCTGGGTGCTGGTTGATAGATTTCCTCCTCCTAGTGGCCTTCTGGGAAAGAGACGGCTCCCGCCTGGGGCCCCCTAGGGGCAGAGGATGGCTGGAGACAATTAAAGCCTTTAACTTTTTTAAAAAAAGAAATGGCAAACGTTTGCCTCTTGATTTCTAGTTCCCTCAGCACATAAATAGGGGCCTACGGGGGGTACCGGAACTGGATTGTGTAGGAGCCCACGCTGGGCTGTCTGAAATGAGAACACTGGACTGATGTCCGTCGGCCGCAGACCTCCCCACAGAGCCCTTGTTACAGATGAGGGAGCCGTGGCTGGCTGAAAGCCATGGGATGCGCCCTTTAGTCCCACAGCCAGTCACGTGGCAGGTGCAGGATTTGAACCCAGAGCTGTGCCCTCCCCACCCGTTGTAGGTTTCCCACCCCTTCGCCCAGCCCAGCACTCATTTCATGGTCTAATTTATTGGTGGTGAGTATACAGGGGGTGGGTCCAGGCCAGACAGTTGGGCCACTCCCCATCTAATGCCTGCCTGCCTTGGGGGTCTCCGTGTGACAGTTGCAGGGAGGAGCTAGGCTCCCCCGTTCCCAGGCTGGGTACCCCTAGGCTTCTCGTTTCCTTGCCAGTGTAGTGCCAGTCCAGGTGTGGAGGCCGCTGGGAGCAGGTCCGGGTGGCTCTGAGCTGGCCTAGGTGAGTCTGTTTCTCCCCTCCCACCCAGCCCAGGTCGCCAAGTGCTGGATCCGGGTTAAAAATTACAGGGACTTGGTTTCTACAACAGTGTGGACTTATAGGGCAGTGGTCTGTCTCTCCGTGGTCCTGGGCGGCCGTACTCCAGGCCCACTGGGTTTGAAGGTTCGGTGGGGTGGGGGGACCCCAAGGTGTTCCAAGCTGGTGCCCCCTCTGGCAGCAGGCCTCTGAGAGGGAGGCAGGAGGGGTGGGTGCAGAGGGCATGGTCCATCCTTGGTCGAGTGCAGCGGTTGGGGTCCCGGGATAAGTTCACGGCCAGTGGTTCCCAGCTGGTGGCTGCTCAGTCTCTCTTGCTGGGCGAGGGCTGGCTCGGGGGCCCCCAGGTCTCCAGGCGGGGCACTACGCCATGCTGCTGGTGGAGCAGGGGGTGCTCTGGGTGCTCCCGATGCTGTGGTTGGTGCTACTGCTTTCTGAGGAGGCCGGGGCGGCCACCGCCACCACGGGCTCCCGCTTGCCGGGGGGACCTGGGGGCAGGGGCGGAGGTCAGGGCCCCGGCCGGGGCTCCCCGCTCCCCCAGAGGCTTCCCCGGGCTCCCCCAGGTGATGGTGGTAGAGGGGTCCTGAGCACTCATGGCGGGGGCCTGGGATACTCACGCGTGTGCGAGTAGATGTACCAGAGTGCAGCGGTGAGCAGGGCCCCGATAAGGAAGGCGCCAAAGGTGATGCCCAGCACGGCGGGCAGGACGAGGCCTTTGTCTATGCGCGCAAGGGAAGGGTGGCCGCAATCAGCACTGTGGCCTCCTCCCTGGCCCCCTACCCTGTTGTGCGGCCAGGAGCACAGATTTGGGGAGGTGGGGAGGTCAGCCCCAGCTCTGCCACTGACTCTGACTTCTCTGAACCTCAGTCTCCTCATCTAGCAAATGGATTCATCATACTCATGCCTGGCACTAAGCCATGGTTGTTCTGACCGTTCACCCAGAGGGCCCAGCCAGGCCTTTGGTCCATGCCTCTGCCTTCCAGGGCTGATGGAGATGCGTTTTTAGGGAGAACAGATGGTATAATCTGAGCCAAGAGTGAGTGAGGCCTGGGAGTGCAGAGCCTGCCCCACCCTACTGTGGGACCTTGGGTCAATCCCTGCGCCTCTCTGAGCCCCGTACTACGGTCGTGATGGGCCAGGGCACTCTGTTCTTGGGTTTTCCCAAGCCTCGTTCCATCGACACTCTGGCCTCCTGTGTGACTATGGGCCTCCTCTTGGACCTTTAAGCTCCCATCTATGCAGTGGGGTAATTAGGCCTGCTCTCTTGGTATGGGCTGGGGTTGGGGGCTCCATCCTGGCCCAGGTGGGGTGGCAAGGAAGCAGGTGCCCCCCCCCCCGACCTCTGTCCCCAGTGTCAGTGACCTCCTCTGCCTGGTGGGGGCCTGGGCCCAAAGGGAATTAATAAGGAGCCTGGAGCGTGCTGGGCTGAAGGCGCATCCTCCACATGGGGGGGCCAGCCCCATCCCAATGTGCCTTCTGCCTCATTTGATTCTAGGATCCCCCACCACACACACACACCCAGCAAGGTCAGCTAGCAACCATGGACATTTGGAAGATCTAAATGCCTGGGATCTGGTCCACAGGGTAGTCAAGAGCAAAGACTTTCTATCTAGAAGATGCGGCGTGGATCCTACTCTAGGCTTCTGGGGACCCTTCTGCCCTCCTCCCAGGGCTGCTCTTTCTGGGGTCCTCTCTGCATGTCTGTGTCATACCCCTCTGGGCCATCCAGCAGGCCCTACTCTGGCCTCAGCCCCCCGGAACCCTAGAGGGACTCACCAGGCAGGCCAGGGCTGACGATGTTCAGACGCATAGAAATAGTCCTGTGGACTTCCTGGAGGAGGAAGAGAGAGTGGTGAATGAATGGCGCAGCCTGCAGGAGGCAGCTTCAGGGCTTGTTCCCTGGCTCTGTGATCCTGGCCTGTCACAACGCACCCTGGGGCCTTGGCTGTGGATTCCATCCCACCACTTTCTAGCTGGGAGCCTTTGGGTAAGTCCTGGGAGATCCGTACTGAGGGAGGGTGGATGGCCCTTTGCTGCTACTGGGATGTTCCCTGGGAGGCTCCTGACTCCCATGAGGATTGTGGGGTCACTCTGGCCTGCATCTGTGACACTTGTCAACACCTGGGAGAAATGAGCCAGGTCAGCCCAGAGGCCCATGCCCACTGAGTCTAGGGTGGAGAGGCCCACTCAGGAGTGGCTCAGAGGCTTTCCTAGCTTCATACAACCAGAGAGGTTTCTAATCCTGGAGATCCTTCTGTGTGCCAGGGCCTGGGCGTGTGTGTGTCCAGAGCTGTGTGCCTGAGAACGGGGATCCCCACTGGACGGTGAAAGAGAAAATCAGAATTTTGTGTCCTTTGTCTTAACCCCTCTTTGCTGAGGTTTGTTTAATGTAGTGGCATCGGTGACTGTACCACATGGAAAGAGGGCTACGTCTGGGTGGGCAGATTGATGGATGACCGGGTGGGATGGTAGGAGGCTGCTGTCTGGCTGGGATGGTGGAAGGCAGGATGGATGAACATAGATGGGTGCTGGAAGGATGCATGGATGGAAGAAAGGAAGAATGAGTGGTTGTTGGAAGGATGGATGGTGGAAAGACGAAGGGAAGAAAAATGGCCGAAGAAAGGAAGGATGGATGGATGGAAGGAAGGATGGATGGATGGAAGGAAGGATGGATGGAAGGAAGGATGGATGGAAGGAAGGATGGATGGATGGAAGGAAGGATGGATGGATGGAAGGAAGGATGGATGGGGGCAGCAGCAAATCCTACTAATGTCCGAGATACAGCAAAGCCATCAGACGGCAGCAGGGTGGCACAAAGAGTACCCTTGGTAGCCAGAAGCCACACGCCAGTCTGGTTCTGCCCCTTGCCAGCTGCTCCCATAACATGGGCTGTCACATCCCTTCCTGGAAATCCCGGGCCCGAAGCCACCCTTGAAGCTGAGCTTGGCTCAGGCTCCACTCACCAGGGACCAAGTCCTCGGGCGCAGGGTTATGGTGCAGCTGAGGGTGCCAGTCGTGGGTGTGGGCACCATGTAGCCACGGAGGAGGAAGCTGAAGCGCATGTCACCACCAGGGCCCGGGGACAGCAGGCTTACACAGCTGCCCTTGGCTACCTGGCTCTGGATGAGCTCCACGGTGTCCGCGTCAGGCCCCAAATCCAGTTGGCAGCTGTCCAGCTGGAGCACGAGCTCAGGGATCGATGGGGACATGCTCACCTGCAGGGGGAGGTGAGAGTGATGAGGCATGGTCAGTTACTCACCCTTGCTCTCGTGGAATAAGCTAGATTCGTTCTGGAGCTCCACCCCAGCGATAAGGACAGCCCTGGGTCTGCCTGGAGCAAACGAGGAGGAGAAGACCTTCCACCCAGTGTCTCCCCCTCCCCCACGCACCGTGCTGGCTGCCTCCTCGCACACCTTCTCTGTACTAATGGTGGAAAGGAAGGTTCTAAGGATCCCGGGAGTGGGCAGGCGGAGAGGTCAAGGCCGGTACCTGCACAAAGCCTTGTTGCCCCAGCTCGATGGTGTTGGAGGCCTGGAGGAAGTGCGGGCTGAGATACAGGCCCAGCTGGAAGGAGAGGCCCTCCATGTTGATGCAGTGCACCTTTTTCTGCGGGAGACAGGAGCGGGGGATGGTCAGTCTGGGAGGCACCCAGCTTAGGAAGGTAAGGAAGGGGTGCGGGTGGGGGTGGGAGTAGGAGCCATGGTCCCAAGTTGCTGCCTGACCCTGATTGTCCCCTTTAAAAAAACAAAAAACAAAGCTAATATTTATCAAGAACTTGCCCTGTGCCAGGCCTGTGTGAATGGTTTTCCATGTGTCTGCTTGGTGACTGTTCACAGGCACCCCCGTGGGGGGGGGATCCTTTCTTACGCCCCTGTTTACAGACATAACTTCTGGGCCCAGAAAGCTTAGTGGATTTGCACAAGGCCACACAGCCAGTATGTACTAGAATCCTCCGACCGGAGAGGCTGAGAATGTAACCCCAAACAGTACTGGGGGAGACTGAGGTACACTCAAGATAACATGGCTTGCCAGGATCGGGGCCTGAGTTTTCTGAAGCCTTCTCCCTCCCAGGCCAGGAAGGGGCGCCAGGACCCTGAACCAGATGGGTTAGCATGGTAACCATCCATCTCACCCGTTGCGGTGATGAACTTGACAAGAGGTTGATGACCACCTGCAGGAAAAGAGCCAAGGTCAGAGCCACAACGTACCCCAGAGGGTACTTTCCCACCCAAACCACCCATTTAATGGATGGGAAGACTGAGGCAACCGATGGCTAAGTTTGTCTTCTACTGAGCACCACACCACACTCTCCCAAAGGCCCTTCAACCTGGAAGGTCAAGGAGGCACCAGCTAAGCTGGCCCAGATACCTTTCCTGCCCATCCTAGTTCTTACCTCATTACTGACCACATTGTCTGTCACTTC